AGGTTGGTTTTTGCTTAATTAGAATCTCTTGTGCAATCTTGAAATGCATACTCGACTAATCGAGAAGGATCTTGTACGTGCAACCGGACACCATTTGAAAGATATGCGGCTATATAATCCGTGGAAATCAGTACTTTGACGTTAATCGAATCTGCTTGAATTTTAATATCGCCATTATATCGCCATATGATAATAATAGTAGGTAATAATTTGTTAATATTTAAAAAATTTTAAACTTCCAAAAGTATTATTTTCAACGTTCCATATATGGGAATAAAATAAAAATGAGAATGTGCGAAAGAGAGCGTGAAACTTTTTCCAATATTGAAGTAAAGGAAATTGTTAAAAAATGAGATAGATAATAACAAGAAACTTGAGTGGGATAAAATCGACAAAGTTAAATAAAAAATAATAAAGAAGAAAATCGAAGAGAGTGAGAACTGTCAATGGAGTGCGCCAATAGAAACTCGAATGATTGTAATCATGACCCTGCACTAAACGCACCTAAACGCGTGTCAACGTTGAGACGGAGACGAGACACGAAACTGATGGCCCATGAATAAATATCTTCCTACTGTCAGTCGACTAAAACGTGCGCGTAAAAGCGAAGCGATCGTTCGAGTCGAGGAGAGGAAAATTTAATTTAGAAATTAGGTACACCGCGAGCGAAGTTGAACATTTTATATTTTTCAACCAAGGTCAAGGTATAAATTTATTCAACTGAATTATCATGCAATTACGCCACGCCACGCAATGCAAATTATTGTTCTTTTCGCCTAGTTTTATTAAAGAAGAGATTTACAATCCAGCGTGAATTTATGATCAACAATGTTCAACAATGTTTAAGTTAATTATTCCGAAATATACTTGAACGATTAAAAATTCATATTCTTTGGCGTAAAAATGTTTCTATTATTGCAACCTTTTGTATCTGGCGACGAGAAATAAATATCATTGTAAGTAAAATGCGAGACATTTACAGGAAGCTGAAAAACACTTATAATTTATTACAATACCTGCCTTGAATGCCTGTCTCGTGTACATAAAAACAGGAAAATGTTGAAATACTAGAAACTTCCTGGATTATTTAGCGGTGATAGAAGATTTTTCATGGTTTTAATTCGATCTATCAGACTTTACGCATCTATGATCTTTAAAGATCGGATCGTTCAACATCGATAAATGTTGAATATAATTATTATTTTGAACGATCATTGTCGATTAATTCTACATTCAACGTCAAAGACATACGAGAATCTAAATTTCATCTATCCAATTTGAATCATTAAGATGAAGAAATTTCCCTCGAATTAATTTTCCCTCTAATTGTCAAATTCCTCAAAAGATCACTTTCCATTACTTCCACAAAGGGATTCCTACTCACAAAGGAAGATAATATCCTCCAAACATCAAAAAAAAAATCAACTCCAACGCGCTCTACCAAAAGCCATTACACGGCAAAGTTATTTCACACTATACCAAGAAGAAGATGTTCCCTCTAAGTGGCATAGACAATCTCAAGCAGCGACGTGGGCGATAAGTGATGGATCTCGATCCTCGTGATTAATGAAGGATCCTCGACTCTGTGAAACGTGACAAAAAACGAAATTTGGATCGAGGATACTTCACATACGCTTCCTGAATCGGTCAAACACGGTTCAAATCCGCTTCAAATCTGCTTGGCCGATCTAAGAATACGCGCTATCCGCAGCATTTAACGGGTGGAATGCGTTTCGTGCGCACTAGTGGCACTTCCTAGACAAGCCTTGGGGATAGCATAAGAGTCTCGGCTCATCGGGAGAGGAGGGAAAAATCAGCCACAATTAAACCGCGTTATTTACGACAGACACGCGTCGTAAAATGAAAGCACGTCTTGCTTGTTTTCTTTATGATCGATCGTTAGCCAAACGACGCCTTCATCCTGGAAAAGTTGCGTCTTTCCGATCATTGTGATTCGTTATGTAACAGTTCGTACACGCGGGATGTTTCTTAAGAAATGTTGATAAATTCCGAGAAAAAGAAGAATTGCTCGTGATTTATTACATGTTGATGAAGTTAATGGTCACGCTACGGCTGGCAATTCTCCTCGGAGGCTTAGAACAATGGAGAATAGCTAGCAAATTGACGATAAAACAAACTAATAATAGGATGTGAAGAAAAGTAGCTTATACGTACAATTCGTACGAACGTTCATTATACAATTCACAATGAAATTTTAATCTTTTTCTTTTTTTTTTTCTATAAATCTTATTAGGATTCGATGTGTGATTTATAGGGAGCCTAATAAAATTTACCTGGCCGTAATAGATCGTAAATTTCAAACGCGGTATAAACCCAATAATTACTATCAATGGTTTGATAAATTGGTTACGGCAACGCGTCGAAATGTATTCTCGAATCGGAAATATGGATACACTTCTTTCCAACCCTTCATTTTCTATCTCTCTTTTAACCCGTTTCCATACACATTAAAAAGCGGTAGCTTAAAGTTTGATTGACACATTACAAGGCTTACGTATCTCTTATGATAATTAACGAGGGAGTGGTTAGATTCGTAGGCAATAAATAACTTCGTTAATCGGATACCATTTTTCCCTCGCAACGTGGCGCCTTCGCTGTTGTAGATCGTGACGCTTGTACCTCTTTATCAAGCGGGAAACATCATGAAAAATATATTCCTTTACTTTTACACCAACGGCAAAGAGAATTCCTTTTACGACCGACCACAATGTCGGACCATTTCTGACTCATACTACTTTGTTATTTAGGATTTATCTTCGTTTTACGCGAAACCGCATCTGACCCCCGCCAATGTACGATCGTCATTTTATCCGTCATAGTTCCTAATGGACAGGGGGGAAAAAACCGGTTTGAACGGTTTCGTCGATGAAATATTCGTCGTAATTTTGAAATACTGCCGATCATTAAAGGTGTACGCGTGGACTATTTAACTTCTCGACGACAACAAGGTCTCGTTAGCCCGTGTAAATGATAATAATAACGCTGATTAAACTAACGACAAGCGCCACCAGGATTCATTAGCTAGCCAACGCGAAAAACATTGCTGAATTTACGAAATACACGGCTTGCCGATCTGGACGTTGGACGCGTCCCGTGGCGTTTGCAGCTGTTTCAGACCGCGTGAAATTTGTCTCGTATTCAGACCTCGTGTTCGAGATTATTCATTATTTGTCGCAAAGTGTACGTTTCGAGAAAGGAATTGCCGTGTTGTCGTATTTTATTTCGAGTTACGTTTATGAATTATTTCATACGGTACGGTACGAATAAACTGGTGATAAAATGGACATTTGAAGAGGCTTGCATTCCGTACAGTTTTGTTACATTTAAATTTTAAACCTATTATCGTTTTCAAATCATCCCATTATTTCACGTTTCAAGAGTTTCGATATCAGATTATTCTTACAGAGAAGATACAGTGTATCGTTGCGATGATGAAATCTTCGAGAATATCTGGATAATGGCTTCTTGAATACTAGAAATCCTACTCCTATCTCCTCTTACAAGTCTATAAATCTCCAGGGGATCCATCTTTTTTTAACACTCTATAACTAACATAAGAAGAGAAGGCGTTGGAAACTTCTACCGCCTCTTTCCCCCTCCGTTTCCCTAACGACACTGCACTAACTCTTGACCAAACAAAAATGGATGGAGAGAGAGAAAAAAAAAAAAGAAAAAAGATTGGATGAAACCAAATCGTTCTCCACGAGAAATTAATTTACGAGCGCGGCCAGTTCTGTTTTAAGCATAGAAGCTCGAAAGAAAGTTGGCGGAGAAACTCCTACTCGAGGTTGGCGGCTCTCTTTCTCTCTCTCTCTCTCTCTCTCTCTCTCTGACTGTTGGTGTCGAGAAGAAATACACCGACACGCTTTCGACGAATTTCAGTGACACGCACGGATAAAGAGATGCTCCCAAAAAGAGTCACTCTTATCATCGTGACACGGATGAGACACGTTCGCGTGATACTTTTTATTGGCCCGTGGTGGTAAGCCCTCGTCGGTTTTCTCGAGAGCGGCTCGAGCGGGATCCAAGAGGAGAAACGAAAATAAAAGGAGGAAGGAAAAAAAGAGGAAGAGGAGAGAAGGATGGAGGAAAGAATCGAAGAAAGAGAGGAGAGGAAAAAAGGGAAGAAAAAGAGGGGGGCCGCGCGCGGCCGTGCTTTTCAGCATGTGCCGAGAACGCGGACGAGTTTAAAGCACGAGGCGCCAGATATCCTCTAATTTGTCTTTCAACGGATCACCTCCGATGGCCGACCGGTATGACGATTTTCGTGCAGGGTATAAATTATAATATCCTTGCACGAGTTGGAGGTTATCAACTGGGCGGCCTTCGTTGCGTTGAGGAATCGAGAAATTAATTTTCATCGATGCCGATTGAAAGTATAAAATGTTAGATGTTACGCATGGATATGCCATGGTAAAGTGTAACTATTTTTGTTTTCAACTGATAATTCATCTACAAGAAAGAAGAGAAATATAACCTATTATCAATTAAGACACATCTCGAAAGATAAAGTTAAAAGTGATGGTTAAATGCGATATCCATTGTATAGCGTGATATCATAATTTGAAATTTTGTGAATAAAATAAAAACTCGTCGAGAGGAAGCGTGTCTGGCTAAGAATATATAACTTTTACCAAGTCCATATTCAGTCGGAATTAAAACACTCGACTGAATAATTTATTCCTTAATTTCAAAACCAAGCCAAGCTTACAAAAGTACCATAAAAATCGATGACGTATCTAGCGTTTCAAAGAAGAGAGTCCTTTGAATCAGCATCAAAGACACCGCCTCCGCACTTACTCCCTCCCTCCTCCCCCTCTTTTTTTTTTCCTCTCCATACACGAACAGCCGGTCCAAACGATTGCACATTAATTTAATCTACGAGTTTGGCATTGAAGTTCGAGTCAAATTGGACCCAGATATAACACGCGTTAAATCACGTTTCGACGTTCCTTGGTTGTTAACATTCGAAATCTTACCGTCAATGATATCAGCAGAGAGAGCAGAACAGTTTGATCCATCTTGGAGAACATTCTTCTTCCGGTTCACGCTCCACGTATCATCTTCCACAAGCTTCTTCCCATTAATATTCTTCCAGATGAGATTCGAAGCGATTTCGAGAATAATTATTCGTCATTTTTCGAGCACGACAGTCGTTTTGCATAACACCACGATTCAGTTTTAATTCCCTCGACTGTCATTGAAGTCACGTTGCCATATTTCACTCGTACACACTCTTCTTCTTTTCTACTCGCACCATCGAATCGCTTTTATCACACCATTACAATAATTTAATAAAACTTACGTTTCCTTTCTTCGAGCCTCCTCCGATCTTTGAATAAAATTAAATAACGAATGAAGATTCCAGTGAAAAAGTGGTTCAAATTTCTTTTCTTTTCTTCCTTTTCTTTTGTCTCAAAGTTTAGTTTCGTTCTTAAAATTAAACGATAAATAATATTCTTCATTCAGAAATTTCGATTTATCCCTTATCTCTAAGATTTATCTCTATCCTATTTCTCAATAAAATACCTACTCTATCTGACATTACAAATCTGACATTAATGAATTTAAGAATCTCCATTCTACCTTTCACACCTCAAGCTTCTATATTAGCTTCTCACGATATTCAGTTTCCCTGGCAATTTTCCACGCCAACTTTTCCACCGATTCACCGATACGCGGATATTATTTATTGTTTCTCGGGTTACCTCTTATCCAACGTAGGAATTTCCACGCAGATATCTAAATTGTGATCGCGTTAGTGTACACCGGGATAGAAGGATAACGGAGATAAGGAAATTATTTACACTGTTCCATTAGGATCCAGGCAGGATAGAAAAAGATATGGGACGCTATAGTTTAAAGTATAATTACAAGAGACTGATAAATCGATGACCTTTTCTGATTTTTCGTCGCTCCTGTTTCCATTCTCGTTTCACGAAACGCATTTTCCTCGAGCGTAGGACGTGATTATTCCTTCCAATAAGAAATTGGTTAATAAAACTTGGTGCTGACAAGAATGATCGATAAGTTTCAAGTGAAATTACACAGTAGTATTATTATATCGAGCACGATTGGATTACACGATCGATTCGTTTCGATTTCGTAAGAGAATCGATTGAATTCCTTTATAATGAAACGAATAGTAGAAGAAGAAGAAGAAGAAGAAGAAGTTGTTACGCGTTGTCGTATTAATAAAAATAATTGGACGTGTGACGTGAACGTGCTGGTTTGATGATAATTAAGTTGACACGTGCTAATGACAAATACGTGTAACACACAGACGCAAGGCAATGTTTGGAGCGGTTTCATCGAGAAAGCGGAACGACAAAGTCTTGGAAATCGCCGACTATTTTTAGGATTGTTTTAAGAAAGGCGCCGTTTTCTGTACGGTTGTAGAATGGAGCACACCTCGACGGAAAAAAATATATTCAACGTTTGAACAATATTTTAATGCCGGTTGAAGGTAGGTGGAGGATCGGCTGCTATTTTTAAGCCGCGTCCTCGATTTCCGGATGACGCGGTGCAGCGCACATTATCGGCAAATTGATGTTTCTCGTTTTGTTCCGAGACGATCGAGACATTTTTCTTCTCTTTTTTTTATGATATTAAACAAGAAAATCTGAAACGATTCAAAGAACGCAATTAGAAAAGAATTTTCCCAAAAAATGATCGACTAAATTATCTTCCAACCAAAAACATTTCTTTTTTGTTATAAGATCGAAAGAAAAAAGAAGAATCATGAAATCGATCATACGACACACAAAAAAGCTCAAGTAGAAAAAAATTTCAAGCATTCCATCCCCTCCAAAAGAAAAAAAAGAATGATCAAACCGATTTCCCAAACACGCTTCTCTATCCCCTCTTAGAAGAAAAAAAAGAAAGAAATTCAACGACACCGATTTTCGAGTGGCTCCGAAACCTCCTATTCACTATACCTCAATATCTTAAGTACACCATCCGCTACTCGAAAACTCGATTCCGTCCAATAAAACTTTTTATCGAGACCGACTCACGAGCACCGCCATCGACGCACACGCGCATCCTACAACACGCACGCAACACTTGCACCGATAGGCAACAACACAGGCCCGTTTCGACGCGCGATCAAGATATTTTGCATCGTGAGAAACGAGTTATGATGCGACACGAAGGAAATTGGATATTAGAGGTGCCGTCGTTCACGTGTGTACGTATAAAGGCGCACATAATGCCTTCATGCTCCAGTTGTTAGTGAGCGTTAGACGGGAATCGATATTAGTCGTGCGTCGACCTGTCGAACGTAATCGTTTCTCCTACGTAGAATTATCTCTGCTGAAAGCGCGCCGGCGCTAGCCGGAAAAAAATATTTTTATCCCCCCTTCTCCTCCTCCTCCTCCTCCTCCTCGCATTCCATCCTTCCTTTCGTTCTCAATTATACGCGTATATAACGTAAGCGCGATATGAAAAGTTTCGACCCGCGACAAGCCGCCATTTTTATCGGCTGGCGCCAACCTCGTCGATGGTTCCAGTAGATCGATCTCAATTACGTGTGTGTGCCCCCCCTGGTTTACATTATCGCCATTTTTTGATCTATTGTTTATGGAGCCTTGTTTTTCGAGCTCGTGCCGCTGTTATAGGGATAGAGGGGATTAATTTATGGGCCCGGTATTCGGGGCCAAAGGGGATTAGTTTGTGTTTATTTTGCGGAATTGGAATGGCGCTGTGTGGCTGCAACACGTGGAATTTATGTAGCAAGAGGGAAATAAGAAGACGGAATTATTGGAGCTGTAATTACGTACATTCGGTTATATTTATATATATATACACACACGTTGGATTGCTTATTTTTCTTTTTTTTTTTCTTTCTTTCTTTCTATCGCGGCGATTCAATGAGGAAAAAAATTGAATTCATTGAGTGAGAGATTGCGTGAATTACAATCTTAGATATTTGTAAATCGTAAATACACCGTTTTAAAATCGGTTTGATAGAGAAGTTATGAGCTACTTGGTCTATAAATATGAGATTATTTTTCGTAGAAGATAGAATATATTATTACGTTAGCTACTTATGTTACAAGTGGTTACATTTGTGTGTTGCTCTATCTTTTTTTTTTTTCTTTTTTTTCGTTGGCGAAATTAATTTATGTTCGAGTAACTGTGTATGTGTTAGATTCAATTGGCATCGTGGAAACACGTGATGCAATAAAGTACAAGAAAAATCCGGAGAAAAATTGTATCCATACAAATTTATATAAATGGTAACATATTCTCGAGTCGATTACATATTTTATCCGATCTTTACGAGGAACATTAGCCAATTAGATTTTAAAATATTATTCGTGATATTCACTAGGAATGTTCATCGAGTTGGAAAACACGATTTGTTGAATTTGTTATTTAAGAAATTATTTAGTGGTAATAAAATTAGAGGTAATTAAATTATTAGCCGATTATTTATTAGTTTTAGGTGGCAACACGCGTGCATATTAATTGGAAGTTATTGCCGGTTGAATGTTGCACGTTCTAAGTAGCGTTGTAAGTGCGCGATAAGTAATCGAGTTGCGGGTGAATATGAATTTATGGGTTATGTATATTCGGTAGTTGTCTGTATATGTCATTCGAGCGAAATGGCGCCACAGAATACGTTCATGGCGCAACATTTCAGAAAACGAGCCGTCTATCGGTCAACGATGTTGTAACGCGGAGACAAAATATTAAACTGGGCAAGAAATTTTTGTATTTTCCGCTAACAATAAATTATTCGTCAATAATTATTTCCCTTTTGATCGTTTTAATCTTCTTTACTTCGATGATGCTGGTGCTAATTTTAAAAATTATCAAGAAAGGAATCTTTTTCTATCGAAACGATAATTTAAACGAATGGTAAATTTTACGACATATTTCAGAAAAAAAATAAAAATTCAAAATTAGAGATTGAACAGTATCTTTTATCGTGAATTTAAATGCTTCGTCTCATTTCGATTTAATTTTTATTGGGATTCTGTCAAGAAAGAATTAAAATTTCCATTCAACCATTCAATATTCCGAATATTAATTTTCTAAATTTATAACTCAAATTTTATCGTAACAATTTCTTCAGAAATTTTTCTAATATTACTTTATCTTTCAATAACGTTAATAATATATATTTTATGAGACAAGAAAGTAATTTACATAATCATCGAATCCCAATCTACGTGTTAATTATATTGGAAAATGGCCTCGTCAAACGACTTCCACTATTCATTGCTATGTCTATTTTTTTTTTTTTTTCACAACCGATGTTTACGGGACCACGTTACTTTATTACAGTAAGGGAACACGGCTGTAAGAATACCACCATTCCGATGGATCTAAGTAAGTACTTGCGCAAGTGTCGGTATAACGCGAGCCATCGTTTATTTTTACGATTATCGACCCATCGGGATCGTGAACTATTAATAATACGCGTTTGTGAAATGACCGATCGGCAGAAACGATTTTCACAACAAACAGAACCGATGAGATAATCGTGTGTGTAACAGAAATTAGGTCTTCTTCGTGATATTTGATAGTTGGGCTTTTTACGTTTTCAAGATGATGGATTAATCGAGGATTTTGCAACAAACAATGAATTCGATTTAAGGGCACGTTGAAATATTTCTGTTTTGACCTATTTCTAATCTTACAGAAGTGGAAAAGGATTTATTATTATTATTATTTTTTTTTTGTACTTTTTTAACACTTCGAATTGAATTCTGGAAATTGAGAGTTGTAATAGTTAACAGATTATATAATAATAAATACTGATATTTGAACAGAATGATTTTGATAGAAAATACACTCAATTAAAATTCATGGTTTGCATCATTATATGGAAATTTTGGATATCAAGGATGATACTTTTGATCGAGGTGAAAAAGTTAGAAGGTTAAATAATATTACGTGATTACGTTTTCACGTTTCTTCCGGTACGTGAGAACGAGATTCACGTGCGAAGAAGGGGCACAAAGTCAAGGCCGCTTGCATTCGTCCACGAAAATAGCTTTGGAAGCCGTCAAAGGGATCGTAAATTTAGATTTGTGTGCAGACAAAGTGCTTTAAACTTGGATTCCGCGTACGTTGTGATAGAAAAATAATCTCATGGTGTCGCGGCAGCGTGATGAGAGAAAAGGAGAAAAAAAAAAAGAGAGAGAGATTATAAATGTCTGGGACGAGGTTCACGTCATAGCTCGATTCGCAGAATTTTGCCACGATTTTCAGAAATATTCGAATCTTTAATGGGCCATCGTCGACACGTTCTTTACGTATCTTAATCTTGCTCTTTCAATTTGTCAACGTGTTCCAACACGATAAAATATCATCCTTGGCGAGGGAATACGTGTTAAATTCATGCTCGTCACGGGAATTCGATCACCTTTGAACTTTAAACAGTTGGAATTCGAACGACAAGTTGGCCGGCCGATGAGAAAAATCGTGTCGAGCGTGTACCAACATTAGTATCTGGTACAATACCGATGTAAAAAAAGATTCGAGACACGAGATCAATTTGTCATGGTGATCGTAAAATTCCAATTGAACAAGAACGAGAGGAGGAAAAGTTAAATAAGGTGAACCTTATCTTCCGAAATGTCGAAGTCTTTGTATATACCCTAAATATTAATATATTACGTATTGTTTGTCATGTTTTATTTTTGAAAAAAAAATTTCACAAGAAGAAGATCCATATGTTTGGATCCACAAAATTAAATTGCTAATAACAAATGTTACTATATAATTACTCGTTTCCCCATATATATATATATATGCATATTTAAATACGAACATGACATTTACTATATTCATGTTTGACAAAAAAAAAAAAAGAAAAAAAAGAATGCACTTGTACTATATTTCATAGCAAACCTTTCTTACAATCTAATCAAGATCAAGATCACAGAACAATTTTATTAAATGCCCATATATATAATTCTCCATGGAGCAAAACTAAATCAATAAACTATATTCAAGAGATTCACTCAATTAACACAAATAAGTATCACCTACGAAGAGATTAGAACGAAATTACTTGTCGTCACAATGTTTACGTGCGACGTAAAGATCGAGCATATTTTTTATTCCTGACTCGGTGGTGTTTACGTTTCCGTACCAAAACTCTCTCGAATCTCGTCTCCGCCGATCGATTCACGATTAATCCGAGTCCACGATAGATTCCAATCGATAGATTCACGATGCGATTCACTTGTCGGCCGTTAGATCTTTGAGATCAAATGAGAAGCCGCAGCGACGGTAGCGTGATGCATGTTACAGAATACCGAGAAGCGAGTTCCTCTGTCGTGCTTTACAGAGGTGTCGTGCCGAACTGACGGCTCCCGTCGGTGGAGGATCGACTTTATACAGCGGTGTGTCTCGCGCTGCTCTATGAACGCAGCTTTAGGGGACTCCACCTTTGTCTGTCACCTGACCACGCTTCCGATCTCATCTCTTTCCCATCCCTTCCTTCCGTTTCACCTCTGTTTCCATTTTTTTTTCCATCATCCCCCTTCTACATTTTATTCTTTTCTTTCTTTCTTTCTTTCTTTCTTTTTTTTTTTTCACTCGATCGAGAGTAGAAATCGTCGCGGATCGAGGAAGGAAATCGGTGAATTATTAAGCGGAATGGAATTTTCAGAGCTTGACTCATGGAAGTTTTTAAAAGCGAGGATAACAGCAATTGAGAACGGATGCTTTTAGCCTCGACTATTTCCTAGTGTTTTTTTTATTTCGGTGACTACGTATTATTTTCTTTTTTTAGATCCTTTTTTTTTTTAGATTTAATAAAACTCGGTTAGCGTTGTAATAGAAAAGCGAGGAAGATTCAAGAGATCTGTAATTTTTTTTAACATCGATCGAAAGTATCTGTTATAATATTCGGAAAACGTTTAAAAAACTAAATGCAAAGATTCGAAGAGGTTCAATTTTTCTTTATAATTTGTCAATGTATGTATATTCCAGCATAACAACAGTTAAACACTTTAAAAAATTCACGAGACGTAACAAGAGTTTAAAAAAAGCTTAAGTGGAGGATTCAAAGATTAACCCTGAAATAACTCGTTCTTCTGACAAAATGCAAGAAAGGAGCAAAAAGGTTGTCTCTTTCGCGTGTACTTCTTCTCGATAATGGATTTTTAACACTGGCGACGAACTCGATGCATCTGGTCCGGAGTAAAAGTAGCAAAGAATTAAGTGGTTCTTATAATGGTTGTTTATCGCGAAAGGAGCTTACGTGAACGTATAGTCGGTTTAACAGGCTTGTTTGTACCGTTGTGTCGTGATCGCTTTTTTTTTGTAAACTCTTCTGACTAGGTAACAAGAGATTTAACTAATTTTAGTCCCATAATCCACACGAGACGTGTGTGCATCGTTCGAAACGAAATACCGAGAGATCCTCCCACATTATCGGTATTTCTCTCACCCTTGAACTTTTGCTTTATACGAGTATTTCGCAAAATATGTTTTATTAAATCAGTTATTTTACGTATTAATGATCGAAACATCGAAAGTATTAATTATAATTTTATGAAGAAATTTTGTTCAAATCATAGCGTGTTTTAAATGAAAAAATATAAAATAAACTTATCTATTCTCTAAAAAGGTATCCACAAATCCAAATTTCTCTTTCGTCGTGGAAAATAAATTTTTCCAATTTTTAAATAAACTGAAAGTTTGAATAAACTTCGTAAAAATATTATTTCCTGAATATTCTTTTTTTTTTTTTAAATTAAAATAACAAACCTCCGGCTCGAAAATCAAAAGTTATAGATGATAATTTACATTCACAGTTCTCCATTAATTTCCACGATTCCCTTTTCATTCAGCGCGCACAATCACCGCCTCATTCCCCGTTTACATTTCTAAAAATATTCAAAAAAAAATATAATAAAATCTTTATCCACCGTAAATTTATCCCATCTCGGAACACAGCAGATATTATCTCGAGTTTAATACACTGTTATATACGTTTCTTTTCCTGCATCATCCGTTCCGAAGCGGCGTTGAAAATCGATCCTATAAATATCGTTGAATAATATCGAAAACCGATGTCACCGCTTCTACCAGAGTTCTAATACCGACGAGGTATCGAGCGAAAACGGAGAAGCGAGGAGATTCGACGAACGTGGTTTAGTCTTTCCCTCGTCTCTCGGGAAGGAAAAAGGGAGCAGAGCGAGCAACCGGTCGTAAGAAAAGATCGCTGATGATACGAAACGTGGATATAACGCGTAATCGTAGTTATGGACGCATCCTGAATAACGTTAAATATTTATACATTATCAACTGCATCGATATCAATACCGGAACCGGTGTTTCTCGCGATCTCGCTTATGGCGTGTCGATCGATTCGATGATTTGCTCTTGCTCGCTCGAGATATTCTCTTCTCGATTATAAATGATTTGTCGACATTTTTAAAATGGATCTTAGAATCATTTTGATTAATTAATTTTAATTTTATTTTTTTTTTTTTCACTTCCATTTTTCATTATGAATTTACTTCTTCTTTTTTCCCCTCCCTCTCCCTTTTTAATTAAAAGCTTCAGATTATTTTGACCACTCGACGAAATTTATTTGATTCCAGTTTTATTGAACGAAATTTGAATTTTTTTTCTTTAATGTTATAAAAAGTATTTTTTCCCTTGATTTTTATCAACGAATATCCTGATCAAAGACAATATTCGCCACGCGAACGATACTTTTCACGGACACGTCGTGCACGTAACACGATATTAATCTCTTTCAGAAATACGATACTAATATTTCACACTACTTAAACTCACATATTCACATTAGAATCTTCCATCTTCCCACATTGTAATACTTTCCATCTAATATATTTAATAACATTATATTATGGTAATAATATTTCCAAATCGTTTATTACGTAATCTGTAAGTAAAATTTACACTTTACGTCACAAATATATTTTTCGCAGATTAACGCAACAATATCTGCTGTTCTTGATATCCAGACCTCCAATGTTCCGCTTCTTTTCGATTATTTATCGCCTAATCGAGCACGCTATGCTGAAATATATCACCACGAGTATTTGTACCGTTTGTATTTCGAGTGGAGGCCATCGATTTATTATCCTCGTACAATGTTTCCGTTGAGCGTTTTATATCAGCCTTACCAAGATGTGCCATTTCGACTACTATCAGAACAATCTATAAAGAGATCACCGACAAAGTCAAACACCCCATAAAATTCATAAACACCCCTTTCTCGAATCGAATTAATCAAGCCAATTTACATTCATTAACCTATGAACCATCGATAAAATCAAACGATCCGCATAAAATCCCTTTCTCCCTCCGCGAATTAATCAACTTCACTTTTCGAATTCGTTTAAAAATCAACTTCAAATTCACTCCGTCCACGCGCATATATGGGTGAAACGAGCATAATGATCAAAGATCGATATCGTTGCCCCAATTACTCTCTAATTCCAAACAAAATTACAATCCATGGATCAATAGGACTCTTTATTACATACCTGTTCTTATTCCTCGGGTGGATAGTCGGTAATCAGTACAGCTCAATCGATCCAACTTCGATGCTCCAATTTCGAGGAAATTCGAAATCCACAGATCCCTTCCTCCCCCAGGTGTTCCTGCACTGGATGGATGGGATCGGTTCACGCGTGATCAAGGGAGAACGAGAACGAGAGATCGGTAATTAGCGATTTCTCAGCGGTGCCGATCTAATTTTCCACCGAGCAAATTATCGAGTGGCGCGTAGATAGAATTAGCCGCGTCGGTCTGGCTGATATCGCTAAATTGCTGCATTCCTACGAGACGTCCGGAGTGCATCTCCCTCGTTATATCATCATCGTTCATCAGCCTCTGGTCTACGCGTCGTATATAAATATATCGCGTTTGGATCATCCTCTTGATCGCCGATCCACCGGGGATAGATGTATTTCCGATCGAGTTGCTTGCGAATTTTCCTCGATCAACAATGGCGTCGATCTTCTCAGTTTATTGCAGTTATTAAGAAAGAATAGGGAGAAAGGAAGGGAAAAAGAGAGAGAGAGAGAGAATGTTGGATACGGAGAAGGAAAATGTACGAAGAGCGAAAGGGAAGCAGAAGAAAAAAACTGAAGGATAGCAACAACATTAGAGCAACGAGGCAAAAAAAGATGTGTATATATATATATATATAGGTGTTGTGAATGATGATCAGAAACAAATTTAGCTGGCTGAAAGCCAACAGGAATGAAAGGTTAGCAAGAAACGAATCTAAGAAAATTAAACGAATACCTGTTGCAATAAGAGAATCAAGATGAGGTGAAAATCAGATTCGCGTTGATGACATTCGCGATTAACTCGCGCTGCAAATCATATATCAAAATGAAATGTTTATCATTGTTAAAATATCTTATAATAAAGCTTGTTCCTTTATCGATAAAATCTTGGTCTGGTATTAAGTGCATAAATCAATAACGATCGTTACCGAAGATAAGCGAAATGGATGTAGGGAGGTGTTATTTATTTGAAAATCACGGACATTTTCTTTGGACCGATTCCACGCTTTGACGAATCACGAAACAAGATGCGGTATTATTTGCGATATTACTTCAAATGTTACAAACGTATCAATTATTCATTCGAATGAATGAATGATGTTACTTAAGAAATCGAGTTTTTGATACTTGCATGTTTCATGCTTTTCTATGAATATTCATAAAAAATTGTAAACCGTTTATTTGTTTTCTCTGTTTAAAATCGAATATGTACATTTATATTAATATGTACTTTGTTTAATTAACCTTTGCTTCTCGTTTGCTTATTGAGATATTTTAATGGACTGTTAAAAGAATCTGTTTTTGAGTATAAGCAATGAAATTTTATATTCAAATATAAAATCAAAATATTATGCATTTTACAGTCGCGAACATTTGCGAAATATTTCTTCTTCAACAACAAAAATAGAAAATTATTCATGTATATATATATATATATACTTTTAAAATTAAAAATTTCATTGAATAAATTTACGATAAAATTCATGAAAATATCTATACCAGAATTAATAACGAATTTTATTATTTATTTATTTATCGATATTCTATAGCGATATTTTTAGATCGAACCTTTTCCTTTTTCCGAAATAATCGTCCAAGACTTATTAAACCAATTGGATACAATTATGGCATGGTGAATCAACAGCTACCTGCTTTTTTATCATCTCTACTGGCAGTGTCGTTGACTCGATGACACGACCCATTGGTATCATTAACGTTGCATCATAATTGTTCCACTGAAGCGAGAACGATCGATTGATTTACACGTTGAATAACGAGCGAAACAAGAGCAAGCAGTGCTCCGTGTCGAGATCGCGTCCATTTTACCGTGTCTAAAATGTCGAATAGTCATTTGGTATACGTGCGTAATAACTTAAAACACGTCAATATTACATTAACCAATACTCGGAGGGATCTGTGATTCGAAGCCACTCCTCGAAAGCGAAATTTTAAATTACACGATGTTAAATACGTAAATATTAGCACAATATATTCCTTTCGCTAATTAATTTTTAATTAATAAACATCTCGATTCTATAGCAATGATAATTACCCGCTAATATTTATAGCTAATAATAAGTCATAAATTGAATAATTAACTTTCAACTGTTTGTGTTTCTTCTGTAGAAATTCTTCTCTCCTACGTAGTAGAATAGCTGACCCCCCCTAATCACTCGTTACCTTACTTTCGTAATTTATTTAGTTGTAAATTGTAATGCTTCGACTTCCATTAATAGAATAAACTTGTTCCGTTTAATTCTCATTTAAACAAGACATTTCTCGACGAAAGAAAGTCTTTTTCATTTCGCAATCGACTTTTATCTTTTTCTTATTCTTCACTGTCGCGTTACAATGATTACAGAGTTACATTTGTTCCTCCATCACGGAAGAACGACCCATCACCAGCGCCGCATACCTCGAGAAACGTTGAATCCTCGCGTTTTAATCGCGGCTACCGTTTACCAGGTGTATCTCGAAGCCAAGGAAAATCATTTTCTACCTTGGTATTACTAATTCAAGCTTCTTCGGATGATTGTCCCGGTGCATCGACGTTAACTCATATCGAGCGCACGTATCATTCAGAAGCCAAGATTGCAGTAATTGCTCGCAATTTACCTTGCAAATCGCAATAAATAGTTTCTTTGTACGCGAGCCCGTGCAACTTTTATCTGCGTAACGCGTTTAGAAATATCTTGACGCGATGCAGCATCGCGGTTGCTCCAATTTTTCCAAGATTCGCCGACCGTTATTTATTAAGGCATGGAAATAAACGGGCAATTCATAACGCGTTAATAACATCCCGGGCATAATTCATCGCTAAAATCCGCTCTACGAACAGCTCAATCGCTGCTAGCGAGGTTTAATATTAGGCGATGACCTAAACATCTAAGGTATTCTCAATGCGACACGGTCCGGCTACGA